GGGGGGGGGGGTGAGTGCCAACGGGAAGGGGTGCTCTGGAGAGGACGTGTCTGAACTAGACAGGGGGGCTGCAGGACCCTGAGGCACTAAACACCACGGGATCACTCACTTTCTCTGAATTGTATGTTATATGAATTTCAATTCAATGTCTAAAAATTGCCAGAACAGGGCTGGGGTGGGGAAAATGGGGCTTCACTGGGAATCAGTCGGCCCAGATGGGAAGACACCGCAGCAGCCCTGGGCGCTGGGAAACGGGCCCCCCAGGGAGGCAGGAACCCCTGCCTAGCCACCAGTCCCAAGCACTACCCCCTTGGGCAGAAGCCTTCCTGTTTGTGACCCAGAACTCCAGGGGCACCCCCAGACCTGGCAGGGCCGTCCAGACCTGTGCCAAGTGTCTGAGGCAATACCCACATGGCTGCTAGGACGGAGGGATCCCCCACCAGACGACCCCGGGGCCCAGGGCTTGGGGCTCCTCAGCAGCGACACCAACACTCAGGGGGGCGTTGGGGGCACAATCCCTTCTTGACAGGTGGGGATGTCCTGGGTGCTGCAGGATGTTCAGCTGCATCCTTGTCAACTCTAGAAGCCGGACGCACCCCTGTCCCCAGTGGATGACCGTGTCCCCGACGCTGTCCCCAGGGCAGCGGCCCACCTGCACGATGAAGGGGTGGAGGCCGTGGCACTGGCCCCCCGGCATGTACAGCTGAGCAAACACCACCGCGTGTGTCGCTGTCTTGCCCATGTTGCCGACCCAAAATTTGGCGGCTTCAAAATCAGGGGAATGTATGATGAATTCCTGCGCGAGGAAAAAAGTCAGGGTCAGCAACTCAAAGGACCTAGGATTCCTTTTCCTCTGAGGCCTTCTCTTCGTATCTTGGAGATGAGACGGAAGGTTTTAGCTCCTGGACGCCACGGCAGCCCTGTTTTTACACAGAGCATGTTCCTGGGCCTATAACTTAAAGAACCTTCCTGTGGAAAACGACGCCCGAGCCTCGGCCAGGTGGCCCGGGTGGCTGGAGGGTCGTCTCCTGGTCAAGGCACATACCTGGATAGCGGGTTTGATCCCCAGTCGGGGTTCATACAGGAGGCAACCAATCGATGTGTCTCTCTCACATCGATGTCCCCCCCCCACCTCTTTCTCTCTAAAAAAATCAGTAAAAACATCTTCAGTTGAGAATTAAAACAAGAATAGGACGCCGGGCGGGGGGGATCAATGCGGGGGAGAGGGGGACATCTGTAATGCTTTCAGCAATAAAGATAAGTTTTAGGAAAAGGAAACGGAGTCTAACCTGTCAAACGATATAACTGCAAACCCTCGGCAGCTGGCCACGCCCGGGCCGTGCGATCTGTCGGCCAGGCCTCCCCTGACCCCCCGGCATGTGTTATTCCCACCAACCCCGTTTCTCCTGCTTTGTCCCTCACTGACCTCCAGGCAGCGAGATCTCCAGGTGGGACAGGTCGGGCCTCAGCCTCTGCCTCCTGAGCCTCCACCTGTCAGCGACGGACACCCCCACCCCCCACCCCGCACTCTGCAAGCTCCCGTGTGCAAAGACGGCTCTCGGGGTCTCATTACTGTCTCACTCCTGACCGCGCCATGTCTCATGTGCACGAAGCCCAGAGGGCAAGGGGACGGGCGCACCTACCTGGGTGGTGGGGTCGTAGTGTGCGGTCGTTCGCACGGCCTTGGTGTTACTCCCGTGACTCACTTCGGTCAGAGCAAAGCATCCAAAGATCTAACACAGAAGCAAACACGAGGTCAGGTGGGAACGGCGTTTTCTCATGTTCCCTAAGGGACCCTGCCCCACCCTTCCCGTAAGGACTAAGATCCCTTTAACCACAATTACAGCCCCAAATCTCCTCCTATCTGACCGACGAGTGATCTCACTGCGTCTGCGTCCCTCTGCTGTGCCAGATGCCACACCGCCCAGACATGCTGCCAGCAGCCCCACTAAGTCAGCCTGGTGGCCAGAACTGCTCCCGGACAGCAAAGGAAAATGGGAGGCCTTCACTTCGGTAAGAAAAAGCTAAATTCAGCCTGGCCGGTGTGGCTCAGTGGCTGAGCGTCATTCCCTGCACCTAGAGCTCATCGGTTCAATTTCCGGTCGGGGCACATGCCCAGGTTGTGGGCTCGATCCCAAGTGGGGGGAGTGCAGGAGGCAGCCAATCGATGTTTCTCTCTCATCAGTGTTTCTATCTCTCTCCCTCTCCCTTCCTCTCTCTCTAAAAAGTCAACAAAAACATCAACTAGTTGTTGAGAAGCCTAAGAACACCATTCAACAAGGTGAGACCCCACAACTCTCAGAACAGGTGAGAGACTGTGGGATCAAGACCCACCACCAACCTCAACTTACCTCCATATTCAAGATCTTTGGAATGTATTTTAAATGTCTTTCAGAACCAGAGTTGTAAATCGCTGATCCAAAAACCTGAAAATATAATATCATCCCATGAACCGGCGGAAGTGAATGAGTACTGCTATCCTGGGATCTCACCAGTGACGGGCCTTTAACACCCCCATCCCACCCTCACCCGGCTGCGCACCACTGGGTGGTCCCGACAGCAGTGCCCAGCTATGAGAGGCTAACTATGCATGAGCATGCCAGGCTCCCGGGTGAGGAGACCTGGGTCCCCGCCCCAGGCAGTTTATGTAAGTTCAATATAATCACCTAGGACTTCAGATGCCTGAAAGCCATCCTGAGGGTCTGTGAGAACAAGGGACAGGGCAGGAGGGAGGAAGGATGCGTGAGGGCAAAGTGGGACCACTTTCTGTCAGACAACAGCCGGTGGACCACATGTTGTGCCAAGGTTTTGTTTTTGTTTTTTTGGCATAAAGCAAAAATGTCCCAAAGCTCCATTTGTGGGTTTTGACTTCCACGGCACTGTACTTTCTCCAGGAATCACGTGTGCAAATTTGTGTATAAAGGTAAAAATAAAATTGGACTTCTGCCTGGCTGGTGTGGCTCAGTGGTTGAGCCTTGACCCATGAACCAGGAGGTCACAGTTTGAATCCCAGTGAGGGCGCATGCCAGGGTTGCAGGCTTGATCCCCAGCAGGGGGCATGCAGGAGGCAGCTGATCAATGTTTCTCTTTCTCCCTCTCCCTTCTTTTCTTTGAAATCAATAAAAAACATATATATTTTTTAAATTGGACTTCTCACTAAAAAACACAAGATCGGCCCACACATTCTAATCTCTGCTTGTTTCCTACATTTTTAGAAATCTCTTGAAACAAGCATTTCCCCAAATGCATAAATCCCCAGAAAACTTTAAAAGCGAGTAAACACTAACAACCCCCAAGCCACCGAGGTGAGTGTCTAAAATTTAGACTCTAAACCCCACAGGCTGCGTGTATTTTCTGTAAGGAGCTCCTGCGGTATGAGCGTCCCTGACCCCAGCTTGGCCCTGGCACCAGGCAGCCTCATGGCCTCACACGGAGGCTGAAAGTGGACCCTGACGTTCCTCTCCCCTGCCGCCTACTCACAAAAGTGTGCAGGAAGACCTTGGTGGCCAGGGACCAGTCGTACATGCCCAGACAGTTGACCAGCGCCAGGCATTTGAGAGGGCTCTGGAGCAGGTCGTCCATGCGGAAGATGTCGTACTCCAAGAGCCGCTTGCAGCGCAGGAAGTTCAGCTCACGGTACGTCTCCATGGAGAGGTCGTGTCCACCACGACGGGCGAAGAGGGGGTCGTTCTCCAAAGCTGAGAAGATGGTTTTCTGGAAATGCAGGAGACAGGACGCCGGCGATTTGGAGGCAAAGGGTGGAATCTCACTATGCTCTTACTCATACAGGCTTTCTCGAGGCCGCCGGCTACGTGGAACACATAGTCTGATCCAAAAACGTCGGGGCAGGGAGGGAAGTCCTTCCCAGGGGAGGCTTAGGAAGCTTAAAAAGTCTGTGTTCATTTCTGGACCCCCTCGGCAATTCCCAGAGGCTCCGCCATCCCGGGTGCAAAGAGGAGTGAGGCCTGTGCTGTGCCCAGGAACAGCCGCACCCTATGGAAGCGGACGTGAGGCCCAGGGGGGCCGCGTGGCTGTAAGGGCACAAAGCCCTACCTTCGCCAATGAACTGAGACGCCCACCAGCGTCCCCATGGGTCAGCACGGCCAACGCTGCAGAGCCGCCACCTCACCTTAAAGCGCAGCATGTCCTCGCCCTCCAGGAACAGCGCCAGCTCCTTCCAGCTGAAGGAGGCGCGTGAGCGGTATGCATGCAGCGGCCCTCTGGGGAAATCGGGGAGCAGAGCATCTTCACTTCCTTCCAAATTGGGTGCCATGGCTTGATGTCAACCTGCAGAAAATATATGGCATGAGGCAACATGCTTCAGTCTATCTGTTCACACCATCCTTGAACAGTTGTATAAGTGTAACGTGTTACAAATGAGAGAAAAACTCCAAGGGGGGGACAGCAAAAGAGAAGGGCCGCATTTAGAGCTAACGTTCATTTCCCCCCAAACAGAAGGGGTGGGAGATTTCCTTGAACAAAGGTGGTGAGAAGGCAGAGGGAGCAAAGGGCAGCCCTGGGGCTGGGCAGCACCGAGGTCAACAGGCCCTGGAGGGCTCCTGAATCCATGCGCTCACTTGGCAGGTTCCTGGCCCCACCACCCTCCCGTCCTGCAGGTCCTCGAACTCTGAATGTCAACACTGAACTCGCCTGGGCCCCTGACCAGCCTGTCCTGCAGGACCTGTTCTATAAACCCAGGTGCCACCCTGGAATTCCCCTCTCCCTGGAGCCCCAAAGCCACCACTCCCCTCTTTAATGCCTGCTGAGCCTTTCATTTCTCTCCGCTCCTGTTAAATCCAGCATAATAACCTCCGATGATTGAGCAATCCCTGCACCAGTGGTGTGGCAACCCCAAGTACCAATGTACTCTCATTTTCAGCTGACGAAACTGGAGCCCAAGGCCATCCAGCTGCTGTCGGGCACATCCGACCCCAGGTCCCGTAATCCTGAGCAATCAGTAAGTCCCCTATGGCCCCACGCCACCCGAGGTCACCGACATCACCGAATCCAGACTGCCTGGCGTCAGACCCCGCGGTGAGAACTTCCGAGCTGGGTGACGTTGCTTGTTCAGTCAGTAAGTCACCTCGCCTCTCCGTGCCTCGGGCCTGACGACAACACAGCAACCACAGCCTAGCGTCTAGCACACCAAGTCCCCGAGTAACTCGCTTCCTTCAAGGCTGTTCCGTTACAAGGTTGAGATGTGGAGGAAGGTAACTGGTTTAATCAAGTAGCCTGTGGCAAAACCGGTTTCCTTATACATCCACCTACCTGGGGCAGAGCCTATCAAAACAGCGACCATCAGCGACCTTAAGTGAGGACTCACTGTGTCTAGTACCTGGGCTGTTGCAACGGGCAGGGGGCACTTGGAACAGCTCCCAGTGTGTTGCTGGGGCTGCTGTACCCTCACTGTGCCAACAGTCTCCTGCAGCCACCTTTCCTCTCTGCAGTAGGAGAGGTAACTCTACACTGCGGATCTGACCATTCTTCCTCTAGGTGACAGCTGTCCTGCGACCTCAGGGGACTATTCTCCAAAACGTCTCGCAGGTTCACCCTCCCGGCCACCGGGCCTTGCCTCCGGTGTGCGCCGCCCGGTGCCCCCGGACCTTTGCACCTGCGCTACCCTCGGCCCCTCACCGCGACGCAGACGCGGGCTCGACCTTCGGATCTCGCGGGTCCCTCCCGGTCGCCGGGCCCTCGCGCCGCTCGGCACCCACAGCAGGGTCCCAGCAGGTGTCCTGGCGGCGCGCAGGCCCTGGGAGCGCGCAGCACCCACAGCGGGGTCCCAAGTGTCCTTGTGGCGCGCAGG